CTAAGAGCCAGGTTCATAGGTAACAAAGTTAGCTTGGCCTAAACTTCATAGGTGTGTTTTAACAGATAAGTATGGCTGATGTCTTCTCCCTCAGGTTATACTTTGTGTTCTTTTGGTTGGTCTTGCAGTGATTTTGGTGGATGTGGCCACTTTCTGGCTGTAGTAAATCTAACGTGGTGATTGGCACTGTGGTTGTATACTGTCTCCTTCTTTTTTTTTTTTTTTTTTTTTTTTTTTTTTTTTTTTTTGATCTGTGATTGTAGCAGTGGTCACTCTCAGCTGTAGTGATTGTATTGTCACTTTGTTCATTGTTCTGCTTTCTTTCTCCTCTTCTTGTGTATATGAATAGCTGGTTGAGGTTTGAATATTTGTTGCTGGTGTAGACTGCTGTCAATTCTAAGAATTTTTGGACAGTCTCAGGGTATCTTTGTCCCCACACAGTCTGAGCTATCCTTCAGTAAAGTGATTCCAAAGGTCTGCTGTTTTTTTTTTTTTTTTTCTATAAATAACAAACATGTCATACTTACTTGCTCTGTGTAATGGTTTTGCACAGAGCAGCCCTGATATTCTTCTTCTCGGGTCCCCTGCTGGCGCTCCTGGCCCTTCCCCTTTGACCAGTGCCCCCAGTAAGTAGCTGCCTGCTATGGGGGCACTTGGTGCGTGCTCACTCTTGAGGAGCCCCGCTCTATATGTTCATAAAACACATAGAGCCGCAGCTTGGCCTCACCCCCTGCTCTCTCCTCATTCACGGCCCCTCCTAAACATTCCAAAGCAGGGAAACCATGTAAAGATTTTTAGGCTGGATTCACACACATGCGGTGCGGTTTTGAATGTTCGTTTTGACGGCGAGTTACAAAGCAGTTGTTCAGCAATTCAGGGCCAGTTCAGATGTGGTTTAGGACAGGATTTGGAGAAAGAAAACTGCTGAAATCGTGTTAAAAAACTGATGACGTGCGATTCAGAAGCGGTTCCCGTAGATGTCAATGAGCCTGAATTCACACCTGAACCGGACCACACTGCTCCGAAAGCTGACAGGACTCCTTTTTTAATTCACACTGAATCTGCACTCAGGTTGCACCAGAGATATGTGAACAGGCACAATAGAAAGTATTGATATTTCACATGTGTGAATTGGATGCGGGTCAAAACACATCCAATTTGTATATATGTAAACCGGCTCGTAAAAGAGAAGGTTTGGGGTTTATTTTCCAAATTATATTTACCTAGGTGGATGCTGCATTGGTCCCCTACCGGATCTAAGTGTGAGAACTCAGCGATCACATTGCTGCTGTGAGCTGTTAGTCACCGCTATCTGCTCTGGGGAGCGAGGGATGGAGAGGCTGGCTCAGGCTCTCACCGGCTCTTTCCCCAGCCTGGACCAGCTGAGTGACGTCAGCCAACAGCTAAAAACGGATCACAGGAGTGCAGGAGGAACTGCACTCCTGTAATCCACAGAGTACAGCCAAAAGATCTTTGGCTGTACTTCTCCTTTTAAGTAAATAAAAAAGCACTTAAAAAGGTAACCAGCAATGGTTTTATTTTTTCTAAAGTTATGGTATGTTTAAGTGATTGTAAACATTCTTTTTTTTTTTTTTTTTTTACAATAACAAACATGTCTAACATGGTTGCAAAACCATTGCACAGAGCAGATTCGATCGTCCTCTTCTCGGGTCCCTGCCAGCGCTCCTGGCGCCGAATGCCCAGCATGCCACTTGCTTCGGGTGCAATTATGCGTGCCCGCTCCCAAGCCAGCTGTGTATGTCATGGCTCTGCCCCACCCCCTATTCCCTCCTCACTGGCTGTAATTGACAGCATCAGGCGTAACAAATAAAATAAATGTTATCCCAATTTGGCTGCAAAAGTGGCATTACACTTTACACAAAGAACTCTATCGGACACTGCTACCTGCTTTTATGAATGGGCCATGAATTGCAGGCCGTGGCATTGCAGTAGATTTTGCAGTGACATTGCAGTAGAGAAAGTTATCAGTGATTGACCTGGCTTTCAGTTGTTGCTATTGGCTACTGTGGTTTGCTTTTTTGCCTCTTCACTTGTTACCGCTTTTATTGAATAAGCCTGAAAGTATTCACAAAACGCTCTGCTAGTGTATAATATCTTCACCCCATTGGAACAGATGTTCGCAATATACATTGTATTGCTAAAAGTATTGGGACACTCCTCCAAATCATTGGATTCAGGTGTTCCAATCACCTCCATGGCCACAGGTGTATAAAATCAAGCATCTAGGCATGCAGACTGCTTCTACAAATATCTGTGAAAGAATGGGTCGCTCTCAAGAGCTCAGTGAATTCAAGCGTGCTTCCGTGATAGGTTGCCATCTGTGCAATAAGTCCATCCCTGAAATTGCCTTTCTACTAAATAGTCAACTGTTAGTGGTATTATAACAAAGTGGAAGCAACTGGGAACAACAGCAACTCAGCCATGAAGTGGTAGGTCACGTAAAATGACAAATGGGGGTCAGCGCATGCTGAAGTGCGCAGAAGTCACCAACTGTCTGCAGAGTCAACAGCTAAAGACCTCCAAACTTCGTGTGGCCTTCAGATTAGCACAACAACAGTGCATAGAGAGCTTCATGGAATGGGTTTCCATGGCCAAGCAGCTGCATCCAAGCCTTACATCACCAAGTGCAATGCAAAGCATCGGATGCAGTGGTGTAAAGCACGCCAACACTGGACTCTAAAGCAGTGGAGACATGTTCTCTGGAGTGACAAATTACGCTTCCCTGTCTGGCAATCTGATGGATGTGTCTGGTTGTCTGGGTTTGGTGGCTGCCAGGAGAACTGTACTTGCCTGACTGCTTTGTGCCAAATGTAAAGTTTGGTGGGGGGGGGGGATTATGGTGTGGGGTTGTTTTTCAGGGGTTGGTCTTGGCCCCTTAGTTCCAGTGAAGGGAATTCTTAAGGCGTCAGCAAACCAAGACATTTTGGACAATTTAATTCTCCCAACTTTGTGGGGACAGTTTGGGGATGGCCCCTTCCTGTTCCAACATGACTGCGCACCAGTGCACAAAGCAAGGTACATAAAGACCTGTATGAGTGAGTTTGGGGTGGAGGAACTTGACTGGCACTGGACTGCCCGATAGAAAACCTTTGGGATGAATTAGAGCGGAGAATGCGAGCCAGGCCTTCTCATCTGACTGGACTTTGGAGTCGTACAAGTGTGACTGGAGCCTAAGCAATGAATTGTTTGATAACAAAATTGTGCAAAGAATACTTTTTTTTCAGTAGCAAAATCATTTTCACCAATATCTTCCATTGATATTAGTCTTTATGGGTTGTACCTCGATTGTTACATTTATTGTTTGGGTTTGGTCAGTCTTGTGAAAAATCTTCCAGTGTATGGCAGGCTTTAGAATTCTCTGATAGAAGTTGGTGAGTTTCTATCAGGTTACACACTTTTTCGTTAGCAGTGACATTCCTTGCAGTGAAGCTAATGTCATAGAACAGCAGCTATCAGAAGAAGCTTCTCATTCAGATTCACTATAAAGTTGAACTTTACCTTAATTTAAAAGAATCTGTGCAAAAATCCCTTTATAATAACCTATACCTTCATTTCAAACACATTATGATAAGCTCCCTTTGCTTTAAAATCATTGTGTACTATTTGAATTACATTTTTAATTTGAATACCATAAGTAAAAGCCTACCAAGGGTGACAATGCTGCAGGGACTGCAATTAATTTTCTGCAGTGTTGTCACCCTTGGCAGCAGTGTCACAATGTTAAAATATAACTAAAGGCAAAACTTTTTTTTTAGTTTTGAACAGAGTGGAAATTAAAACACCTGTTTTTTTTTTTATTGCTGTCTGTGCCCCCCATTACCCTCTCTATTTGCCATGTTTACCATTATCATTGAAAGTGAAATTTAAAAAAAAAATAGTAAATTGTGGGTTTTCCTAAATTTTCCAGTGGGCACTCTAGTTCTGGTGACCTGGGGGGCCCCAAGGATTCCCTTAACTTGCAGGGATTTCCTCTCACTTCCTGTTTTGGAAATGAAGGTAAATCTCCCCAATGGGACACAGATGGCAAAACAAAAATAAAACTGACAGGCGTTGTGACCCTCCATTACTCTATCCAAAATTAAAGTTTTGCCTATAGTTCTACTTTAAAGCAATACTAAAGGTTATTTTTTTTTATTTTTTGAAAATAACATGTTATACTTATCTACTGTGTGCAGTGGTTTTGTAAAGATCAGCCTGGATCCTCCTCTTCTCGGGTCCCCTGCTGGCTCCTTCTTTCTGTCAGGTCCCCCCATAGCAAAAAGCTTGCTATGGGACACCTGAGCAGGCATGTTCCCAAGCCACTGCTCTGTGTGTCCATTCACACAGGGAGCTGCAGCTTGGCCCCGCTCCCTCTCTCTCTCTCCTGATTGGCTGCCTGGCTGTGATTGACAGCAGCAGGAGTCATTGGCTCCTACTTGCTGTCTCGGCCAATGAGGAGGCAGAGACCTGAGACAGCTAAGGCTAATGTGCACATCACAGGATCGATGGAGCTCAGCTAAGGGGCACTACTGAACACAGAAGGTTTTTTACCTTCATGCATAGATGCATGAAGTTAAAAAACCTTGAGCCTTTACAACCACTTTAGCTCTCCCTGTCACTGCTGAGCTGATTGAATAATTAAACTGGAGAAAGTGATGCAGAACACCCTCTTGGATGTTACTGATAATATCACAGGACAAAAAAGAGGATTCCTTCATTCCTTGGATCAGGTGAGTAAAAAAATAAATAAACATAAGACAGATTGCCACTTACTGAGAGAAGGGGGAGCTGCCGGGGGAACATTTGATCTTTACATTGCATGTGCAGTGTGCATACAAAAATGTAGTTTTTGATCCTGGAAGTTTCTATCATTGATGTTTTGCTGTGTCAGTGCTTCCTGAATATTTTAGGCTTTTCATTCAAAGGCTGAACAAATTACCTGATTGACATCTCTGTCTTTTTCTACAGCTTGAAATAGATGTGAGAGAAATTCTGTGAAGATGACTGCTATCAAGCATGCCCTGCAGAGGGACATATTCACTCCAAATGATGAGCGCCTCCTCAGTATTGTGAACGTATGCAAAGCTGGAAAAAAGAAGAAAAACTGCTTTTTATGTGCCACAGGTAAGTCAGTACAACAGTGTAACTGTCAGCTTCTTCATATATAAAAACGTGAGTGCCGTTCAAAGCGCTGTAAAGCTTCCTCCCCTGCAGTTCAAAGCACAGATGGGTGCTGATGTGCAAACAAGCTCAACCGGGCAAACAGAAACACATCGGAAGACAGAAGGTGGAAGTGTATAACTAAAGGCAAAACTTTGTTATTAGTTTTGGACAGAGTGGAGATGGATTAAAACACCTGTTTGGTTTTTATTGCTGTCTGTGCCCCCGTTACCCTCTCTGTTTGTCATGGTAACATTATCATTAAAAGTGAATGTAAGAAAAAAATAGCAAATTTTGGGTTGTCCCCAGAAAAGTAATAGAGGGGACATCTTCCAATGGGGACACTAGTTCTGGTGACCTAGAGGATGGGGGGATTCCCTTAATTTGTAGGTATTTCCTCTCACTTCCTGTTTTGGCTATGGGAAAGGGATTGATGGGAATTCTCTCCAATGGGGCACAGATAGCAAAAACAAGCTTGACAGTGTTATAATTCTTCCTTACTCTATCCGAAATAAAAGTTTTCCTTTTATTCTCAGTACCCCTGTGAGTTACTGTATTATTGTTTACAAGTTTACTATTGCAGTGTGTAGCAGAAGCAGTGATTGGCTGTCTGTGCTTGAGCTGCTTATTCATTTTAGTGTGGAGCTCTAAGGGGGAGCAAGTTCTTAACCTCTTGCCAACCGCGCTGTAGCTGAATGACGGTTACAGCGTGGTTGTCCAGTTCTGGGAGGGCGTCATATGACGTCCTCCCAGAACTCGTCCTCCTGCGCGCTCCCAGTGGTGCACACCCGGCGCTCTCCATGATCGCTATATCCTACAGACACAGCTGATCACATGAGGTAAAAGGCCAATCACGGCGGTCTTTTACCACGTGATCAGCTGTGTCCAATTGCAGAGCAGATCACAATTTAAATGCAGTTGCTGGTTATGGGCTGCACTTTCCTCATGCTATCACAGTGTGCGGAAAGTACTGCCGATAACTGGCACATGACATTGACAACATCTGCACCGATCATCAGGGCACTGATGATCAGTGCTGCATATCAGTGCCTCCTCGTCAATGCCCACCAGTGCTGCCTCATCAGTGCAGCCTATCAGTGCTGCCCAGGGGCGGACTGACCATTTAGAAACTCGGGCACTGCCCGAGGGCCCGGGGTCAATAGGGGGCCCCATGAGATGCCCCTGGTACCTTTTTCATAGGCTTTTTTGAGTTTGGGCAAGGACACGGGCCCCATGATCCCCTATTGCCCGGGGGCCCCATGAGTTGTCAGTCCGCCCCTGGTGCTGCCTATCCATGCCACTTCATCTGTGCTGCCTATCATTGCCCATCAGTGCTGCCTTTTAGTGCAGCATCATCAACGCACATCAGTGAAGGAGAAAAATTATTTGTTTGCAAAATTTTATGATAGAAACAAAGAAAAACTTTCTTTTTTTTTTTCCAATTTTTTGCTCTGTGTTTTTGTATATAGTGCAAAAAAAAACACCCAGTGGCGATTTAATACTAACAAGAGAAAGCTCCTATTTGTGTGAAAAAAAATGATAAAAATTTCCTATGGGTACAATGTTGCATGACCACGCAATTGTCATTCAAAGTGCTACAGTGCTGAAAGCTGAGAATTGGCCTGGGCACGAAGGGGGTAAAAGTGCCCAGTAGGCAAGTGGTTAAAGTCTAATTGTTGAATTAATTTCCTAGAAAATGATCCGGACTAGGACTCAGTGCAAAATGAGCCTTAAACACATCTAGAGCACACCGTTTACATGTTTGCATGTTGGTAAAGCACTTTAAAACACAACAGCACTAGTAATGCACCAGCCTTAGGGCATTACACTTCCATTCAAAATGATCACAGCTTGTAAGCACACCTCAACTTGTATGTGTTTCAGTACTCTATAACACACAGATTGTATTCATATGTGTATTGTGGTGCAGTGTGTTAAAAAGAAATGGTGCTTGGCCAGTTTTGGGTGTATTGGCAAACCATTCAAAATTCGTGATCTGCCTTAACATAACAAATGATAATGCACCACACATGGTTAAAGTGGGCCTAAATCTGCACTTCATGCAAAAACCGAGGAATGTGGATGTAGAAACTGTATGGTATAGTGTTGTATTATAACTCACTCAGTGGAAGTAAAGGCAAAACTTTTTTTTTTTTTTCTTTTTAGATAGCGTAAGGGAGGGTTAAAAAAACTAGTGGTGTACCGAAATGAAGATTCTAGTTCCGAAAATGAAAATTCAAAATGCACTTGGCCGAAAACAGAAATGTGCAGTTTTTAAAAACGAATATATATTTTTGGAAAAAAATACACTTTGATTTAAAAAAAAAAAATATATACTCCAATTATTTTGTATATGAAAGAGGATGTTATGGCGATTAAATAGATGCCCAACATGTCATGCTTTAAAATTGCGCATGCTCGTAGAATGGCGTGAAACTGCGGTACTTATTAAATTTCCATGGGTAATGCTTTAAAAATTTATACAGGTTAGCAGTGTAAAGTTACACAGGAGGTCTAGTGCGAGAATTATTGCTCTTGCTCTGACATTCGTGGCGATACCTCACGTGTGTGGTTTGAACAATATTTACATATGTGAGCATGGCTTAAGTATGCGTTCAACACTCCGTTCGAGCACGGTGGGATTGGGGCACTTTTAAACTTTTTATTTAATGGGTTTTATTGTTTTTTGGTTTTTTTTTGCACTGTCCTTTTTAAAAAAAAAAGTTAATCACTTTTATTCTTATCACAAGAAATGCATGCATCCCTTGTGATAGAAATAATAAGTGGCAGGTCCTCTTTATGGAGAGATATGGGGTCAATAGGACCCTCATCTCTCCTCTGCAATATAAAGCATTAGATAAAAAAATAAACATTGATTTAGTCCTACAAAAAAAAAAAAAAAAAAAAAGGCCAGAACAGGAAGTGACATTGCTCCGGTACTCCAAGGGCATAGAGATGAGTGGTGGCCATCTTTCCTACACTCATCTCTATGCCCAGCACTGGGATCGATGGTTTTTCAGGTAAGACTGAGAACTACTGAGTGGCGGCAGTGGCAGGCAAGCGGGTGACGAGGGGTGGGGTTTTTTCTGCACCTGTATCGGTGTTTTTTTTTCATTTCGGTCGATGGCCAAAAGGGGTGTTTTTGGTAGCCGAAACGTTTCGGTTACCGAAATTTCGGTGCATCCCCAGTTAAAACCCCTTACATGTTTTCATGCTTTTTTTTTGTCATCTGTTTCCCATTGGGGAGATTTCCCTTAGTTCATAGTCCCTAGTCCATCCAGGGTGGCAATATTCATACATACAGTGGGACCATGGAGAATACACACTCACACACACTATTTTCTTGGTGGTCTGCCAAATGGAGGGACTGACATGTTGTGCTGCAACATACAGCCCAATCCTAAAATAAGCTTAGAAATCATTCTAAAGTAACATTGTCTCTCTTGCCAAGTATCATTTCTTCACTTCACTGCATCAAAGTGTATCAAAACCCAAAAACAAAAAAAATGTATTATGTTACAGTTTATCAATCCTTAGATGTGGTGACTGAAATTTCTTTCCAGGTATTCTTTTTTTTATTTTATTTCCCCTCGTGATCCTGCCAGTAACACACTTTTGTCCTAGGACGACAGTATTTACTGTACTGTATAATAACAGAGACAAGCTGGACCACAGACCCCCCCCCCCCCCCCCACTCCTATTCTCCATAATGTAGAGGAGGGTGCTTCTGGAGCTCTCAGAGTAAACTAAGAACAATGTAACTGAACAGCCAGCACAGCAAGTTATAAGTTAATTAGGTTTATGGCAAGATTAAAATGTACTTTTCTGAGCTTCTTAAACAGATGTAACAAAAAGCTTTCAGTTGTATATTTAACTGTTAACAGAAGCTTATTGTTAGGCTTTTGATATACTGTAAATGTGTAGATGTTAAAATAAGCATTAAAGTGGTATTAAAGGAGAAGTACAGCCGAAGCTCGTGTGGCTGTACTTCTCCTGTGGATCACAGGAGTGCAGTTTGTTCTGCACGCCTGTGACCCATTATCAGCCTACAGCAGGCTAAAGTCTGCTGTCGAATGATGTCTCAGAGCAGGTCTAAGCTGGGGAAAGATCCTGACACTATGTCACCTAGCATTGGTGCCTGGCTTCACCACTTAGCGATCTGCTGAGAGCCTGAGCCAGCCACTCCCGCTTCCTCCGCAGCTCAGTAGTGCTCTAGTGAGCGCAGGGGTGGGGGAAAGCAGATAGCGGTGACTGACAGTCACCAGCTCTCTGCTCGTTGAGAACTGAGCAATTGATGGTCTTTGATCGCTCAGTTCTTGGTCTTAGAGCAGGTGGGGGACAGATTCAGCATCGGACTGATGCTGCATCCACCTAGGTAAGTATGATTTCTAAAACAAAGAAAAAACATACTTCTCTTTTAAACGCAAACCCAACATTTTATTATATTGCAGCTTACCAATTCTTAGATGGGATGGTTGTGTTTTCTTTTTTAAAGGCTTGCTTTCCTTTATTTTTAGCTGGTGGTCTGGACAGTAATCCTTTTGCTTTTCAACAGAACAAGCTGTTGCAGATGTAGCTGTTACAGGGTTGAGGAAAACCTTTTGGCACTGACAGGGATGCTTACAATTATCACCTTTTATTTATTTATTTATGTAAATCTTTTATCACGCAAGAAAAAAAAACTGTTTGCTGTAACTGCTTATAAAAGGTTAGCTGGAGTTAACTAACAAACTAACAATTTGTTAGAGAATCTAAATTTGCTAGTGCATCTAACACTCCCCTCCTCCCAGCTTAACAATGCTGCTATCCAAATGTGCCTCTGTGCTCATTCATCCAGAGTAGAGTAGAGTAAGCTCTAATACAGGAGGTGTGTTACTGGCCAGATCACTAGGTGAAAACAGAGGAAAAAAGTCTACAAAAGGAAACTAATGCAGCCATTACAGAACTGATAAGCTGCAATATAT